AATCGACCACGCATCACCAATAATTGCTCGACTTGTTTAAAAATTCTTTCTAGAAAACTCTTATTATCCCTAAAGAAAATACACTGTACATCTGCGTATAATTCAGTTGAAGACGATATATATCTTATATAAAACCTACACAAGGTTACATCATTTCGTATTTTAAGCTTTCGACTAAAAATCGCAATTACTATCATGTCACAAAAAAACTTAATTTAGTATGCAGACTCGGTGATACAGATGTGATTCATTCATTCTGATATTAGACTGTTTGTCGTGGGATGGGAAGAATCCAAAAAACGAAATTGTAAACACACCAAACATAAGACTATTACTTGGAAGAGTATAGTTCACCTCACAAATACTCTGTCGATTAAGTTTTTATCTACATTTGATTTAATCTGTTAAGATAAATGTTATTAATGGATAATATAAAATAAAGGTATTTTATCGGAATCTTTTGTTATCTGCAGTTGTAAATTTATTTTTTCTTATGGCAATAAAGAGCTTAACGCAGTTCATTACATGAACATTTTACTACACAGTAAAAATTAAAATTAAACATGCGCTATAAGTATTTATTACAGATATATTACAATTGACAGTTAATAACCGGCATCACTATTTCAACATTGTAATCTATCTTTGCCAAGTACCTTAATACGAATATAACTCCAAATACACAATTCCAAAAGTCTAATGAATAATGTCATTACGACAACGATCAATAAAGAAAAATACAAAGTCTTGATCCCGCGTATAATGATGATTTCAACTAACGACTAATCTATCTAATTAGCCTTCTTCGGTCCATCTTTGGACATAGGCCTCCCCAATCCTTTTCCATTCTTCTCTGTCTGCCGCTACAGTCATCCACCTAGAGCCCACGTGCTTCTTGATATCATCTGCTTATCTCATTTGGGGCCTTCCTATGCTTCGTTTATATTTCCACAGTCTCCAACTTATAAGAATTTTGTTCCATCGGTCTTCTTTTTGTATTATATTGTGTCCAGCAAATCTCCATTTCAATTTTGCAACTTCTTGTCTAACATCCCTTAGTTTTGTTTTCTCTCTTATGCACTCGTTTCTCTTTTTATCCATTAGTCTTATGTGCAACATTTGTCTTTCCATTGCTCTTTTGTTTTTATGATTTTGTCCATGTTTGCTTTTGCAAATGTTCATGTTTGGGAACCATAAGTGAGAACAGGGAGTACACATTGATTGTATACTTTGGTATATTTGCTACATTCTTAAAAACAAAACATATCCATTTGGCTGATTTTTCTCATTTAGTAATCTTTGCACATCTTCTCATCTGATACAATCGGAGGTTTCAGTCAGATCAATTAGCAATCAATAATTAATTAAGACCAATGCAGATTTATTATGTTCCAAAGTTTTTTTGGCAATTTTTCCAGCTTCTCTTCTAGACCTGTTTTATCGAAAGCCTTGTTGTTCTTCACAAGTTGTGGATTCTTTACTTATTTTATTAGCAATTATTCTTGTTAAATATTTGAGTTCATAAATAGAAAGATTATTAGGTTAGGATATCTCTGATAAGCTGTTATGTGGGTGGTGTCGCTTTGGTATGTAGGTACTTGCAGACTATAGGCATAATACTCTAGTCAAGCACTTCCACAAACTTCCTTTATGCCGTTAATAAGCATTTTCGCTGTGACTCAAACTTAACTTAAGAAATAATTCTTGTCCATATTTTTAATAATTTTCTTCTTGGAGGTATTTTCACGTATCACTATACGAATGAGTCAACCAAATTAAGATGCATCAACATAACCTACCTTAAACATGTGTTGGAGTATATATGTGCATCTGTATATACTTAGATGGTGATTTCTTGAGTTGATAATCTGATTAATTCGATAAACAAAATGAAGAACAGCCAACTTAAAGTTTATTACGCATTAGATAGTTCCTGTACTGGCTTGTGTAATGGACCAAACGTTTATTTTCCTTTTAATTTATATATTGTATCTGATATAGTTGATTTTAGTGGATGGTTCGTTTGTATTTTTATAATTGTAATTTATTGTGGTATTGGAATTTAAGAAATAGAGATTAGAACATAGGAATGGTATATATGTGCAGTTCAGAAGTTGAGTTTCATTAATTCACACACCCTCATTGTCATTTGCTTCAACTTAACTTTATCAATACAAAACAATTGTACACCAACATGTATGTATGTATGTCTATATAGTACTTTGAAAAGATTATAGTAACTGCGTGTCGTTTACATGGTAACCGCATGCCTTTATTTGGCGTTATGGAATCATTTTTCTAGGCAGAGTGGGTCCTGCAGCCCTCCCTTAACGCGACTGTTTAAATCGCCCGTAAAAGCAGTAAATATTAAATAAGAGACATGGTGAAATAAACATATTTCTTGAGACTTGTATTTCAGCCATGAATTTCGTATAGTTTTTTATTTAGTGAAAATTCCGGTTTATCTACCTAATATGTTTATATTTACATAAAATTTACTAGTATGAACTAGAGTATCACTGTTCTGATTAAATATAAATAATTAAAATTAAATATTTTAAAAACTGACCATATTTAAAGGTGTTTAGATATCTTTAAAAAGATAGAGTTAGAGTAGAGAAAGAAACTGTGGGACACTTTATGGGATGCGAAAATTATCAATTACTGTAGCCTAAAATTAGAAACCGGGAAATATGTAGGTACTTAAAATGGATAAAATATTAATGCAATATGCAATTAAACTACTTAACCATTATAAATGTTGGTTGTGTAACTACTACCAATTTTCGTTAAATTAAATGAAATTTGTGGTTTGAAGTTTTTAACGTAAAGTTTGGGTATAGTGTTTGTTGGGAAAATTAGTAAAAAAGGTATTTACCTCAGCAAAAAAAAATATGTCGCTATTACTTTATGACTCTAGATCTAAATTAAATTGTGGTAAACAGTATTCAATTACGGAATACCTTTGTCAGAAAAATGGTGCGAATTGATCGGAACCATGGGTAAAAATTGAAATTCGAGTAGACATATTTTTTTATATTTTTCTTTTTGAAATTTTTTAAGAAATGAAGGGTTTTAAATATAAGTATCCTTGGAATAAGTGAATAAGATGGACAGGGTCTGGAAAAGTAACTGTACATGATCACATTGTATACTATTTTGGAGAAGGCAGCTCAAAACACAAAAATGTTGTAGCAATAATTGTGTCGAAGAAAACAGATAAAGAAAGCTGTAAAAAACATTGTCCTATTCTCATAGGACAGGATACTGATGATACAAATACAATCAACAACAATCAATGTGAACATATTACAAGTATATGCACCCACACAAGACTATGAACAAGAAGAAATTGCAAAATTCTATCATGACTTAGAAAAAGTATTAGCACCTACAAAGAAATTTTTTAGTAGGAAAAATAAGACTGAGATTAAAAAGAGTTGCAAGAACAAATAAGCAAACAGTTACTATTGATAGAGAAAAGATGTTAAATAATACTGTAACACAAGAAATAACTCGTATATTAGAACAAAAAATGAAGTTAAAATCAAGCAAAGAAGAAAGTACTGAGGAAAACTGGACGAGAATTAAAGACATCTTAAAGACTGTTCAAGAAACAAAATTGAGTGCGCTAAAAGCAAGAAAAAAACAAGGGTGGACGACAGAAGAAATACTGAGACTTATGGATCAAAGAAGAGAAATCAGAAATAAAGATAAAAACGAATACAAGGAGGATCCACGCAATAATCAGGCAGAAGGTAAGACACGCGAAAACCACAATTTCATAGTAAAGAATGTAATGAAATTTAACAATATGAAAACGAAACACGATACTCGAGTTTCATCTGCACAAGAAATTAAAAGAGGTCGCTGGAAACAAACGGAAACAAGTATCCCAAAATTTTGAAGACAGAAACGGACACAAAAGATTAGACATCAATGAACAGTTAAAAAAATGGGAAAACTACATTTCTGAATTATTTGAAGATGAACTAGTAGAACACTATACACCGATTGATATATCAGGTCCATTTATAACAGAAAGTGAGGTTACATGTTCAATACAAACGGCAAAAAATGGAAAAGCACTTGGCCCCGATGAAGTAATTGCTGAAATACTACAAGTTTTTGGGAGAAAATGGAATTAAAGCTCTGTGTAATCTCTTTAATAGAATTTATGACACTGCAAATGTCATTCTTTAATAGAATCACTGTCAATTCTTTAATAGAATTTATGACACTGAGTGGATGCAAAACCGAAACAACAGACACTGTCGAATATGCATTGAAATTAAAATGGAAATGGGCTGGGCATAACGAAAGATAACAGGATGGAAGATGGAATAAAGAAATTGGCCGCTGCAGACCATATATTGCAAAAGGTCAAGAGGTCGACCGCAAATGAGATGGAAAGATGACATTGAGCAAAGCGCACGTCCCATGTGGAAAAGACAAACAGAAGACAGAGACAAATGAGAGAGGCCTATATTCAACACATGAATATATTTTGGGCTATAGATAGAATTAACAGGTTAACATCATGCTATTTTGGTTTAAGAGTTGAGAGAACATATTTTTAAATTCGTTTTGCAACTGAAAAATTCGACAAAATAGTGAAACCTTTTTATAATTTGCCAATTATTATATAAAACGTTTTTACGTATGTATAAAATCAGTGACTTTACAGAGAGGTGACATAGTAGAATCGAAGAATAGAATTCTGAAGAGGAATTGTCGGAGGCCAGAATCACTTGACAGGTAACACATAACATATGGCAAATTCGTGGCGATGCCACAGTAGTTAAATTTAATATGTGGCTAGTATAAAATACTATTAAGAAACACTTTGTTTCTGTCACCTACTATCAGTATCAAGCATTTAAAATGATTTTCTGTAGGGACAAGTACATGCATAGAAATGGTTTTACAAGGCTACGTAAAACCTATGGCTAAACCTGATACTTTTGAAACATGTTTTACTATTTTTATTTATATTTATCACATGCAATACACAGGTCATACATAAATACAATTATTATTACTATCTAAATACTATAAGTAATTTCTTCTAGTCGTAAAATAATATTAAGGTTTACTAATTTATCCGTGTCATATAATGTCCGTGTATTTGGATATTATTTTCCAAGAGATCCGCAAGTAACACATTTCGATTATTATAAATAGTGGATGGGCGTTTGTTATGATTCATAATATCTTGGACCGAACTCTTTTTCATCATTCCTTTTTTAAATGGTACAACACATAATTCAATAAATAGGCAAACAATCCGGGTTTTTGAAAAGACATGCCTGTATCAATCAAATCTTCCACTTGCCATTGATAGGTTAATAGGGTAGCCCGGTTAACGTACCGGGGCTACTCCTTCTTGAAGTAAATGACCTGGTCTCACTACGTTTTTCTGAAAAAAGATATTTTTGTTAGTAAAATGTTCGAGAATATTTAACATAAAACCAACTCATACAGCTACAATGAGAAATATTGCAGTATTAGTAAAAAATGGCTCAATTTTTGGGTAACTAAATACTGGGAACAAACCTTTTCGTCAGAAGCAGTGACAGCGGAAAGAAGACAATATGATCTAGAAAATATAAATAGAAACAAACAGAAAATATATCAATGAAATAAATGAAAAGCTATTATCTTAACCCGTAACCCGTGAGCTGGAGTCACGCAGACTCCTAATACTTTAGAAGTTGTTGTAAATTTTTTCCGGTGTCTTTGAATTTTGCACGCGCTCATGTACCTTTAAGTCACTATTGGTAGTTATTGGTATTCAATGGATATTCAGCTAGGGTGCTGTAAACACGTTCAAGTTAGGAATTAGAGTCTCAATGACTCGACCTCACCGTTAAGGTAAGTTTTTTAATTGCTATAAAATTAAAGATTTTTGTGTAAAACCTGTTATTTTTAAATGTATTTGGTTTCTAGTACATCAAAAACCTTAATCCATTAAACAATAATTTTGAAAGTACTGTTTTAAGATGATATAATGAGGAGAATCTAATTTGTATGATATAGAAAATTAATATGATATCAAAGAAGAACATAAATATCGACCTTCAAGTGATGTTCATGAACAATCTTTTTCAAATGATGAAGATATTGATGAAGAATAAACCAATAGAAAGAGGACGAAATTGGATATATATATATATATATAATATATAATATATATATATATATATATATATATATTATATATATATATATATATATATATATATATATATATATATAATAACGGATTGATTACGGCTGTCGCCGCTTCTCCGCCCCCAATTTCCATCTGTTTCTGTCATACGCAGTTGCCTCTTCTAAGTCTCTTGCCGCCATTGCTTCATCAATATTGTTGCGCCAACTTCTCCGTGGTCGTCCTCTCTTTCTTCTTTCAGGAGGGATCCATTCCAGTACTCTTTTAGGCCATCTGTACTCTGGCATTCTTTTAACATGTTCGAACCAGATTAATTGTTTTCTTTCTATGTCATTATTGATATTTCGCTCCATATTCTTATATGTTCGTTCCTAACTTTTTCTAGTTTCGATCTACCGCAGCTTCGTCTCAGATAATCCATTTCTGTCGTCATAGGTTTGTTTTTATTAGCTTTGGTGACGTCCCATACTTCCGAACCGTAAAGTGTAATACTTTGGACTATACTACCGTAAATGTGTTTTTTTGGTTTCTCGTCGAATTGTTTTTTGCCAGAGAAGAGAGTTTAAGGCACGGGTCGCTGCTCTACCCTTGTTTATTCTTTCCCTGATTTCATCTGCGCTATTTCTTTTCTTATTGAAAATGACCCCCAAATATTTGCAGGATTGTACGCCTTTGAAAGGAAAGGCGTACAACAAGGAAACAAGGTCTTAAACAAGGAAAGAGAGTCTTTCCTTGTTTAAGAAATAAAATTTAGTTGGGTTATGTTATTATTAGTCCCAACTGTCACATGAAACCTTATTTATATTAAAGTTTTTAACAATTGTTTCACATTTTAGACTGTTATCGTTAATATTTAGTTAAAACTTTCTCGTCTAAGACACATTCTGAAAACTATTTTATAGTTACTGTTGTGTCGGAGTGTCGGAAAATTTAAATTTGGCGCATTTGCATTTCCGATATGTCCGCCATCAGAGGCCACTTTTTTGGTCTCCTTTTCATAACGATTAGATTCCCTCTTTTGTCTTTTTTGCTCAATGCCTAAGACTCAATCCTACAAATCTGATATCGGATGATAAAATGTTATATCCACTCTATTCTTCTTTATGGTGTCGAAGTCTCTATTGTTAATATTGACTTAATGAGAAAACTGGAAGCTTTGGAGATGTGGCTTTTTTTGGAGAATTTTGAAATCAACATGGACCGATCATATTACGAACGAAACATCAAATGTAGACTAAACCAAAGAAATTAAGACACGTATTGAAATAGCACGTACATCATTCGTTAAACTAAAAAAGTTTCTTTGTTGTCGGGATATAACGTTAGGACTACGCCTAAGAATGCTTCGATGTTACGTATTCACTACTCTTCTTTATGGCTTTAAAGCATTGACATAAAAACAAGTGTATCTAAATCTACTATCAAAAAACAATACTTGAGTACTTGGCCATATTATGAGAGAGCAAAAATACTCATTATTCCAGCTTAGTATGAAGGCAAAATTCGAGGAAAGCGAAATGTGGAAAGACGAAGAATATCGTGGCTTAAGAACTTGAGGGAATGGTTTAAATGCAGTAGTGCAGAACTATTTATAACGGCAGTCAACAAGGTCCGCATAGCCATGATGAATTCCAATCTTCGATAGAACTAGGAACTTAAATAAGAAGAAGGATACTCGAGACATGATCGAAATAAGAAACGCAGAGCAACTTTTTTATATGATATAGCCATCGCCAACGTTGGAAAATTTTAATATGGCACATAAAGAAGAAGGTTTATTAAAAAGGAGTATGACCGTCTAATTTTCCTCTATATTGGAGAATAACCATTACCCATAACCATAACCATAATCATAACCATAACCATAACCATAACCATAACCATAACCATTACAAGTTACACTTGTAAACTAGCTTATTTTATTATTATTTATGTCAAACTGTGTGAAACTCTCGTGCTCGCGAGACATATACTTGCTAGACCTTAACTTACTACTTGGTCCACTGTCCCTCTTCTTTACTCGCATTCCAGGGATTATATTCATTCTTCTACTATCTGGTTGAGCAGACATGATCCTGAACAAATGTGAGAATTCTGACTTAATTTTGTCGCTTTGCATCAGTGCCAAAATCTTCTCTTGACGTTTTTGTAATTGCTTCCTACCGGTGTGATCGTCGAATTCCAAGTCTGATATCACGTGAATGCACCTTAAAAAATATAATATAAAATCAAGTTACAATCAAATATCCAAATTAACATAATTTAACACACCAACTCCAAAATCAAAATATAACAACTAACAAAACCTTCTACTTTAAAATCTCTTATAACCGGTTTTTTGGTAGCGTAGACGTTTGTCATTTATCTTAATACCGTACTATAAAGGAATATAAAAATAAAAAACTGGTAAGGAGCCTGGTTTTGATAGAATACATCCCAAGTTCCTACTACAATGTGACCAAAGAACAAGAAAGTGGTTAGTTGTGTTTTCCTCACGGATCCTAATAACTGAAAACATATCAAAAGCTTTTAAAAAGAATAAAATAGTTGCTGGATTAAATCTCAATAAACCCCACAATAATTTTGAAAGCTATCATCCCACACCACTTCTCAGCTGCTGCTATAAACTGTTGGAACGACTTATCTCAAACAGAATGGGCCCATAAATTCTTGATAGTATCCTACTCGAACAAGCTGGTTTCTTACCTAATCGAAACTGCGCAACTACACATATAGAAGTGGGTTTCCAAAAGCATCAAAAGACGGATATAGTTTTTGTGGATCTGACATTTACGACATAGGAAGAAGAGACACCCCTGTGATATGCTGACTAAACTAATTTCATGCCAAAGAACATTGAAACTATTGATCCAGATAATTCACAGCAATGGCATAAATATATGGATATTTCACAAAATGACGCCTGATACCAACTTTGTTCCATCCCTAATTACAGTCACTTGCCTGTTTAATATGTCTTGGACCTCAATTTTTGTATTAAGCTATCACTATGCGTATATCGTATGCTTGTGATTTCCTTTTCTACACTTTTTTGAGTTTTACTTGGAATATTTCCACCAGTCTAACGTGGTCTGTCTCCTTATTTTCTTCTTCTCTTAGCACTACAACATGGGGTGGGCCTTGACTGACTGCACAGCTTGCTTCCATCTTGAACGGTCTTCCATAATAGTTGGGTCAGTGCTAGGTCCCATTGTTCTTCGATCTGACCACATATTGTCTCTCCATCGCATTCGTGGATGTCCTATAGGGCCTTCTTTCTGTGGGAGCTTCCTCCCATAATAACTTGGCAAGGCGGTTATTAGGGAGTCTATGGACATGACAAGCCCATTTTAGACAGTGGGATTTATTCTCTTGGACTATGTCACTCTGTCTCCATGTCTGCTCCTGGATAAGCCTTAACAGATGTACAGCTGTTTTGGAATTTTCTATTTACAGAATGTAATTTTGTTTTGAGCTAGTTTTCATGTGTACAGTTGTCCAGGTAGTAATTGCAAGAATGTGTTAGTGACAACTAACGTTGAATTTTTTAGGAGTCTCCTCTCTTGTTTCTGACTCCAAGTCTATTTGCTTCGATAAACTGTAGCTTATCTTCAGTTCTAACCTTAGCGTTAAAATCTTCTATAATGATAAGCACTTCTTGGAATTTTCTGTACGATACTGTTGATTTCCTGATAAAACCCGATCCTCTTCTTTGTCTGCAGTGAGAGTTTAAACTTGGAGAATGCTGTTATCGATGGGATTGACTTTCGTATAATTAAGTTGGTAACGCATTTGGTATCTTTGGGTAATACGATTAGTTCAACTTCATATTCATGAGATTTACAATGTTCTCCAGAGTACTATATCTTGTGATCTTCCACTTGTGCTTTTTCAGAATCTGTCCATCTCATATCTGCTATTCCCTTGATTTCAATGTGCATTATCTTCATCTTCTGTATTGCATTGCGGATTTTTTCTGTACTGTATAAGATTTTGATATGCCCTGTGCAGATCTCGATATTCTTTCTGCATTTTAACTTATTATCTTTTAGTATACTTAACACCCTGCTAGATCCTACAGACCTAATTAAAGGACCTACTCCGGATTTTATTTTAGTATTGAGTCTTGCCATGATTAGTTGACTATGGCATATCGCTGTGGATGCTTAATGGTGTGCTTCTCTTACTTGTGCTTCCCCATCCTTAGCCCTTGATTAGTAAGTGGGAAAAGGCAGTTGCACGAGATATAGCACAAGGAAGAGTTAGCTGTCTTATGAGGACTGGTTATTAAGAACCATCTCCCGTTTATGACGCTCTGTGTGTTCGTTCTGTTAAAGATGCTACCCCTATAACACAACTCTTCCTGACAAATTTATTTTATTCAAAATAGTTGATCCTGGTAAAATTTTGAATTATTTGTTGATAGATTGGCGTCGACATTGGCATTTATCATTATGCCAGTGGGAGTTTTAAAGAATGGGTTTTGAGTATCATTATGCGGTGGGAGTTTTAAAGAATGAAAGTATTTTGTTAGAATTACCCGATCCCGAATATTAAAAAGAAAAGCCTCTATTTCGAGAAAACTTCTATGAATATTATATTTTATGTATCGCCTGAGATGTTATAAAATCCAAAACATATGTGGATATCAATAGTGTCGCACAAAGTTTTAATAAACAAAAATTAATGTTAAAAGGCGATAGAGGACTACATTTTAAAGTACGAATTCATTTTGAGGAGGGATTTGACATGCAATAAGCATTTACTAAAATTTAAGTCACATCAAACTGCCAATGCTTTTTATTAAAACCATTAATTTCTATCTTAAAATAATAGAGCAGTCCGGGCAAAAATTAAAAGTGTATTATGTTACTATAATTGTTAAGCAATTTAGTAACATGTTTAAGAAAAAATAATATTCTACCTAAATATTTACCTTAGTAAATACTTCTCCAAATTTTTGTCGTGCAGTTCCTTGGCTATAATTATACCCTTATTAGCTTCTATTATAGCATCGTTTTTGTTCATTAACTTGATACATACTCTCATTTGTAGAACCGTTCCGTTAATATACCATTGGTACTCGTTATTTTTTTCTGCTAGCAGGACACATCTTGTACAATACGATTTGGCCACTTCATATTTTTTCGCCAACAAATTGTACCTAGAAACAAAAATTATCAGTATTAAGTAATTTAATAAGCTTATACTTGGAAAAATCAGAATGACGACACGCATATATAACAATAAAAACAATAAAAATAAAAAAGAAGAATACACCACAAAGGTAAAAGTCGAGAGTCTGCAGAACGAATCAACAAAACTTTTATACCAAAAGAGAGTCAAAGATAAACACGACAACGTGCACATCGTAGAAAGTGATGGAATCGAAGAAAGCTGGGCGAAAATTAAAGCAAGCATCCTAGATTCAGCAAAAGAAGCTGTAGGAGAAAGGAAAATTCTTAAAAATAAATATTTCCAAAAGCGGAAAACTCCGTGGTTCTGCGGAGAAGTGAAAGAAAAATGCAAACAAAAATATGATACATGTCTAACAAAACACTGAAGAAAAATTAAAAACGAACACTGGGAACGCTTCTCAAAAGAAATGGAACACGACTTTTACGGTCTACAAAAGGAAATATGGCGTTTCATAAAGAGGGCCAAAGATCAGAGGTGAAAGACTTAATCGAACCGAAATACATAGATAGCGACACATGGATTGAATACCTAAAGAAGCTTTATAATGATGAACAGCAAATGATGTTAGAACCAGAAACACCAGAAATCATTACAAACGAGGAAGCCGAGATAACCGTATAAGAAGTAAAACAAACTTTAGAAAAACTGAAAGAACAGAAAAGCTGCAGGTAAAGATGGAATTCCAAATGAATTATTAAAATATGGTGGAGAAGCATTAATAGAACAGCTAACAGCACTAATCAACAAAATCATCAAACATAATAAAATACCTGAAGAGTGGAAGAACAGCGAGCTTATGCTACTATACAAAAAAGGAGATAAAAAACAACCTGAAAACTACAGAGGTATCAACTTATTAAACACCACTTTGAAGCTTACAACCAAAATATTGCACGGCCAAATAAATCAGAGAATTACCTTAGCGGATGAACAGCAGGGTTTTCGCACAGGAAGATCGTGCACAGATGCAGTATTCATCATAAAACAGATTACCGAGAAAGCACTAGAGTAACAGACCAGCATTCATATGTCTAATAGACCTGAAGAAAGCGTTCGATAAAGTAAAGCTTAAAGATGTAATTCACCTTCTTTACGATAGAGAAATTCCACTAAATGTTATAAAAACAATAGAGAACATTTACCAGAACAACAATATGGAAGTCAGAATAGATGACCAGCTTACAGATCCAATAGATATGGGCACTGGAATACGACAAGGAGACTCGCTTAGTCCAACGCTATTCAATCTAATCATGGATGAAATCATCAATACTATTAATAAAGGAAGAGGATACAAAATAGGGAACAAAGAAATCAGAATACTCTGCTATGCAGATGATGCGACCCTAATTGCATCCAATGAAGACGATCTACAAAGACTAAACCCATAGATTCAACACAAGGGCAAAGGACTTTAATATGGTGATCTCTACACAGAAAACTAAAACAATTGTAATCAGTAAAGAACCAATTAGATGTAAACTGGAAATCGACGGTATCAGCATTGAGCAAGTAATGGAGACAAATTACCTAGGAATTACACTGTCTAGCTACGGAGATGTGGAGAAGGAAGTGAAAAACAAGTACAAAAGGCTAATAAAATAGCAGGTTGTCTTAATAACACGACATGGCGCAATCCCCACATTAATACCGACGTGAAATCAAGAATCTACAAAGCAACAATAAGACCAATAATGACATACACTTCAGAGACAAGACCGGATACCTCCAAAACTCAGCAACTACTAGAAACAGCGGAGATGCGTTTACTGAGGAGAATTACAGGAAACACACTGAGGGATCGAATGAGGAGTGAAGAGATCAGAAGAAAATGCAATATACCAGAAATAAATGAGTGGACACTGAACAGAAAAAAGGAATGGAACGAACACATAAACAGAATGGAAGAGACCCGATTAGTCAGAATAGCTAGGGACAAATCACCAAAAGGTAGAAGAAGTATCGGGCGACCACGCAAAAGATGGAGTGATAACCTCCAATAGAGGCATTAATCGACATTGAACAAGCATTTTGCTTATAAAAAAGAAGAAGAAGAAGTAATCTAATAATTTTTACTAAATTTCTGCTGCGTTTTTGTAGGAAACACTGAGATACTGGATACACCATACAAACTAATGAAGTTAATAAAAATGATACCTGATGAAACCATTAATATAGTAGATGCCACAGTTAGTGGCAGTCAGATGCAGTGTTAATCTTACGGGGCAGAGATGCCGCTCATATCGGCAAAGTGGTAGGTGTGTGGTAGTGTGGTAATAGACTGAAAAATCAAGACCATACGCGCTTCGTTTACATAAAATATCTAATATGTCGTAAATACTTATATACAGTTATACAAAAAAAAATGCCAGTAGTTTACCCTATATGACACAATAAACATGATATAAACACGATATACATAAAATACACATGAAGATCATAACTAAAATGTACTGTACGTACAGTACTAAAAAAAAACAAGTAAGCAATAACTCTGAGACACATCTAGTTAATTAATTTACTAAAGGTAAAGGTATTACCTCTATAACACAACCCTACACCCCAAAGGGTGTAGGGTTGTATTATAAAGTGTGATGGTTCTTGATAGCTGGTCCTCATAAGACACCTAACTCTCACTTATGGCTCCACGTGCCACACTACGTGCAACTGCATTGGTCTGCAGGCTAAACTAAGTCAGGGTAGCCAGATATGGCGAAAATTTCACCGAGTGATTGCCGGTATAAGCAGTCCCCCACTTACTGACAAACGGGAATGAGTTAGTAAGGGTTTAGGGCACTCTTTTGTCCTGGAGTTGAGAAATCGGCTCCGAAGACAAATGAACCAACAATGTGTCAACGCCATAAGGATCAAGCAGGCAAACGTAACACCACTTGATTACATATTCCAGAGCACGTTATGAAATGAAAAACGAAAGTAACAGACTGCTATGCGATCCGGCAAACAACCGGGGCCACGTCGAGTCCGGATCGACGGGTGTGAAATGGACCACCGGGCAGATGGATGTGGGCAAACAGGCTACATCTGCGAAATTGGTGATTGGAAACCCAAAAATAAAACTACGTTCAAAACAACGTATAGTCACTGGAAACGTTAGAGGTTTGTTAGAATTAGAAGAACTACATATTTTAGAACGAGAGCTTATCAGAGAAAAAGTAGACATATATGGAGTCTCAGAAATTCACTGGGAAGGTCAGGGTCACTGGAATTCCAACTACTATAAAATATTCATGTTGGGAGCCAATAAAACTGGTCAAAAAGGCGTAGCAATACTGGTACAGAAGAACCTGGCAAAATGTGCATATGAATACCTTCCAATAAATGATCGACTAACTAAAATTACTCTCGATGGACAGTTAACAAAGATCCATGTACTATAAGTGTATATGCCAACATGCGATGGAACAGATGAAGAAATGGAAGAGATGTACCAGTTATTAAACAGTAACATTGCTAATATAACAAAAAAAACAGTCATAATATTGGGTGACTGAAATGCAACAGAAGATCTGCTAAAAGAAACAGTTGCTCAGTTTGGAATAGGTAAAAAAAGAGGGGAGTTATTACAATTTGTCATCGACACTGAACTTAGTATCATAAGCACCATGTTTAAGCATCATCCGCGAAGACTATCAACTTGAACTTCACCGGGGGGAAGATATAAAAATCAAATTAATTATATTTTTGTCAGCAAACGATGGAAAAGTTCAGTAGTCAACGTACAGGCAAAACCATCGGCTGATTTTGGAACAGAACATAAACTGGTACAATCCGAATTCCGTATCAAATTTCGTAACAAAAACGAAACAAATAAAACAATTAAATATGTACCTAAAGATCCTGGAAAATACAAAGAAACACTAAGACATAGTAACATACCAAACATTACTGGCGATCCCAATCAAACATGGGAACATACAAAAACGTGGATTATAGACGCAATAAATATTACAAACCCCAAAGAAACCCTAAGGAAAGAAAAACACTGGAGGACTGATGAGACACTGAACCTAATAGAAGAACGAAAAAAATGAGAAAAAATGCTTCAAATCCAACAGAAACTGAAAACAAGATAGCAAATGTAAACAGACGCATAAAATCATCAAGTAGAAGAGACAAAATATTTATATTAAAGAAATATGCAAACAACTACAAGAACACGCTGACCGTCAAGAATCTAAGAATTGTTTGAAAAAGTAAAATACTTAACTAAAGAGTTCAAACCACAAACGCAGATAATTAAAGATAACTTGGGAACGATCATTACCAATCCTGAGGGCATAGCAGCGACATGAAAACAATATTGTAAGAAGACGTGAATCCAGAAGAAATAAATGACGAAAAGCAACCACCAAAAAATATATGTATTATAAATCCATACCTAGCAAGTTCGTGGTAGTACCATAACATCTCAATATCATCTTCAGCTGCTTCCAACCGATCTTCGAACATTTTAATTTGCTGAGCAAAGTCTAGAAGTGGAGCTCGATACGATGCAATAACAGAATCTCTCGATGGTTCTTTACTAATAGGCTGTCCAAGAGCCACCAGTATCCTCTTATCTTGGTGCCATCTTGGCTGGTCTGGATTTAATCTATTTACACTATAGAAAGCATCGCGTATCATGTCATAGATTTTACTTAGGTATATATGTTTGTCTGGTAAAAGTCGTTTTGATTTTGAATCGCAGTATTTCTTCAATTTTTCTGAAAGATCTATAACAGCTATGAGGTTGTTGGCAGCCAGAGCCTTTTCTAATCTAGCAACTATTTTGTCGGCTTCTTTCTTGGTATTTTCTTGGTGAAGTTGTAGTTCAGCTTCCAGTCTGTCTTTCAGATTACCAGATATAAATGCCTGTTGGTATTTAACATTATAAAACGGTCTTCTTGTTCTTAAAGCTTCTTGTTTATCATAAACTGTTTTATAACAATCCTTAGCAATTGTTCTTAGCTTTTTTACACCTAAAAAAATCATAATAAAGTATAGGTGATTTATAGTAATTCTATGTGCCACTTAGAGATATAACTAAGTAGTGTTAAGCAGTAGAACTTAGTAGATAGATAGTACAACTTTAGTTTAATGTATTTTAAAATCAAAACATCTGAATGAAATATTTGTTAAAACTTACTAGCATAATAAAAAATATTTTTAAAATAAATAAATTGCTTATGGTAAAAGCTGCAGATAAAACCAAATTTACTAACCTTCTTGGTTTGGGCAATTAAGTCCTGGTTTTTTCAATAACTCTTTTACAAACACCTTTTCGCGGTACATACGCTCCAAATAAGTTTCCGCCATGTAATTTTCTATGTTGGTTGTATAATTTTGTAAAGGGAAGAAATTAAAGGACTGGTTAAGAGGTGGAACTACAAAATTATCTGTTTGATTACTGTAAATGCTATCTTTTATTTGTAATTTTGAATCGAACGTTTCTTCATCATCGATCTTTTTCTTTTCGCGTCTTTTCCTTTTCGGTTTCTTGATTTTTTTATTTTTTGCAACAAATGCTACTCTCTTTCCAGCATTAAATGTTTCTAGCCATGCTAATTTCCTTATAATCAAGAAATAATCTCGAAGAGGAGATCCAGCAACAGGACCCAAACAGTTCTCTATAGCCGTTGAACATTTCCTTATTCCCATGGAAAAGTGGTCTGGTTTTTGTCGGAGAGGAAGAAGCCTGTAGTTCTGTATTATTGCATCCTCAAATTCGCAGCTAAGGTACACAGCTTCTGATCGTTCGGCCAAAGAGACCAGATCTTTTGGGTCCAATTTTATTGCTTTATTGATATCTTCTAAAGCTCCTTCGAAGTTGCATAGTTTTCCCCTTACTTTTCCTACAATTAATGTAATTTTACACAAAAGAAAACAACAAAATTAGCAGCACTACTTGAGTACGTTTTGTAAGTCATTCTATGAAAAATTATCAATCATAAGAAACTAATTTAATAAAAATTATGTAAATTTCAAACCAAAATCTAATAAAAAAAAGAAGATAGTAGAACTTGTAAATCACTATCTTTATTAGCAAGAGTTAAATAATTTTTTACCTCTATCGATTAGCGTCTTTTTATCATTTGGGCATTTCAGAACAGCTTCATCAAAGAATGGCAAAGACTTTTCATATTGTTCAAGGCGAGCCATATAATTTCCTATGGTATGCCATAGTGTTTGGTAGCCGTATATTTCAGAAGGACCAAAAGGGTTAAATGTCATTGTGTTCAATAAAAATAGTTAAAAATAAATAAAATATTCACGTAAGAAAAATATTCTGAAAACAGTTCAAAATAATTCTGACGGACAAAAAGTGTGACATTAAATTATAATTGAATTAATATAAGTAATGATGTGATCAACAACTTTCAGTTGTTTATTAATATGTAAAACATGATATTGTCAGTAGCGTTCGTCAGAAATTTACTTAAGGGTCTATATTATAACAATTTTTATTGTTATTGGAATAAATTTTTTTTTATTATTGTTGTTTTTATGTTACAAAATAGACCTGTATAGTACAGTGGGTTTCATTGAGTTAGAATCTGTGGAGAGGGCATCTCGTGACTAAAAATGACCTCACTTAGGCCATATATTTACCGTTTACATTTGTTGTTTTTCGAATATTTTTAGTTTTATAATACTGTTATAGAAATTGTAATAATGTATTGTGATAGTGCATAATAATGGTTTCTTGTTCTTAACGTAGTTGCAGTAGCAGAAGCAATGTTAATTAAAAATTTTCAGGAATATCGTTCCACAGGTTAGTATACAAATATGTAAACAAAGTAATGGACCGTACTTCAGAGAATAAATTAATAGTATTTTACTGTATTAATTTATCTTTATGTATAATATATCGTGTTTGTAGTGTTTACCGCGGGATAAATAAATCATACTTTATTAAAATTTATTGCACTTTTTTGAATTATGATTAAAACTTCTGAATAACTAGTCATATTTGTATAGTAGTTTTAATATTATTGAGTCTGGCCCTGATCCCACCGCCATATTGGTATTATCGTTAGCCACGCCTACCTACGCCGTTTTTAATACATACGTTAATATGCTCATAGCTTTTCCATAGATTCTAAGGTGGGTTTGTATGAGATAAAAATGATTATTTGGTTTTTATGGTTTCAAGTTCAGTATTGGAATGGATTTTCAAGAATTGCCGCCTATTAGTCCCATTGGGTTTTATGAAAAACGTTATAGAACTCTTGCTTTAGCTTCAGATGACCTAGCGATTTCCACTTATAAAGATGTATCGGCGGTAGTTATTCCTCCTGAGACTGACTATCAAACTGACAATGAGGACATGGATGAGGATGATCTTCAGACTCAAAGCTTTCCCAATGACGTTCCCGGAGAAATAGTGGTTTATTACACGAGTGATGACTCTGATAACCACGAAGAAGACAATCTTCCTGTTGCCATTTGAAGAAAAAATTTACTGAAGAGTCAAAATAAAACCAAGAAATCTGACTGGACGGACGAAATTACTGATATTAGTATGACATCTACAACAGTTTACTAGATTAAGTCATCTTGCTAGTCAATTTACTTTGTGTACTTGATCTCTTACTTCTTTGTCGAGGTCTCCATAGCTGGACAGTGCAATTCACAGATCACCTACCTCTAGATGTTTTACGACAATACTTTAGTTGGATATGAAGTTCAAAGAGATTTGTATCGGAACTAATTCAAGCGGGAAATTACGCGGGAATTTCAAAATTTAATTTTGGTGGGAAAATTTAAATAAAGCTTAAAATATTTAAATATAATTTGGTATATATTGAAAAAAAATGCATTTGACATTTTTATATTCAAATATACACAATACCATTTAGGAAAAAATAAGACAAAATGTAATTTATTTATTTATTTATTTAATACTTGTAAAACAACTTTGTATATAAATTTAGAATAGAATAGAAATATGCTTTATTACCACTGAAAATTGTATAATTTTATGGACAAAGCTTACAAAAAGTCAGAAAATAGCAATTTAAAATTTACTGAAATTACATAAATCGTCAATATCACAAAATAAAAGATAAAATACACAATATATTGCAAAATTTAAATAAATTGCAAATTACATAATAAATTCTTACGAACTAATACGTTTAAGTTTCTGCATGTGATACTCAAATATATATTTATACAAATACTTAAGTTACTTGTACATAAAGCTCTTCTACTGAATAATATGGTCTTTCAAATAGATAGGTTTTTGTTCTTTTACGGAACTTAAGTAAAGAAGTTGCAGATTAAGTTGCAAAGAGAGATGGTTCTTCTTCTTCTTCTTTTTATAAGCAAAATGCTTGTTCAATGTCAATTAATGCCTCTATTGGAGGTTATCACCCCATCTTTTGCGTGGTCGCCCGATACTTCTTCTACCTTTTGGTGATTTGTCCCTCGCTATTTTGACTAATCGGGTCTCTTCCATTCTGTTTATGTGTTCGTTCCATTCCTTTTTTCTGTTCAGTGTCCACTCATTTATTTCTGATATATTGCATTTTTTTCTGATCTCTTCACTCCTCATTCGATCCCTCAGTGTGTTTCCTGTAATTCTCATCATTAAACGCATCTCCGCTGTTTCTAGTAGTTGCTGAGTTTTGGAGGTATCCGGTCTTGCCTCTGAAGTGTATGTCATTATTGGTCTTATTGTTGCTTTGTAGATTTTTGATTTCACGTCGGTATTAATGTGGGAATTGCGCCATATCGTGTTATTAAGACAACCTGCTATTTTATTAGCCTTTTGTACTTGTTTTTCACTTCCTTCTCCACATCTCCGTAGCTAGACAGTGTAATTCCTAGGTAATTTGTCTCCATTACTTGCTCAATGCTGATACCGTCGATTTCCAGTTTACATCTAATTGGTTCTTTACTGATTACAATTGTTTTAGTTTTAGTGTGTAGAGATCACCATATTAAAGTCCTTTGCCCTTGTGTTGAATCTATGGGTTAGTCTTTGTAGTTCGTCTTCATTGGATGCAATTAGGGCCGCATCATATGCATAGCAGAGTATTCTGATTTCTTTGTTCCCCATTTTGTATCCTCTTCCTTTATTAATAGTATTGATGATTTCATCCATGATTAGATTGAATAGCGTTGGACTAAGCGAGTCTCCTTGTCTTATTCCATTGCCCATATCTATTGGATATGTAAGCTGGTCATCTATTCTGACTTCCATATTGTTGTTATGGTAAATGTTCTCTATTGTTTTTATAACATCTAGTGGAATTTCTCTACCGTAAAGAAGGTGAATTATATCTTTAAGCTTTACTTTATCGAACGCTTTCTTCAGGTCTATTAGACATATGAATGCTGGTCTGTTATACTCTAGTGCTTTCTCGGTAATCTGTTTTATGATGAATACTGCATGTGTGCGCGATCTTCCTGTGCGAAAACCCTGCTGTTCATCCGCTAAGGTAATTCTCTGATTTATTTGGTCTTGCAATATTTTGGTTGTAAGCTTTAAAGTGGTGTTTAATAAGTTGATACCTCTGTAGTTTTCAGGTTGTTTTTTATCTCCTTTTTTGTATAGTAGGATAAGCTCGCTTTTCTTCCACTCTTCAGGTATTTTATTATGTTTGATGATTTTGTTAATTAGTGCTGTTAGCTGATCTGTTAATGCTTCTCCACCATATTTCAATAATTCATTTGGAATTCCATCTTTACCTGCAGCTTTTCTGTTCTTCAGTTTTTCTAAAGTTTGTTTTACTTCTTGTACGGTTATCTCGACTTCCTCGTTTGTAATGATTTCTGGTGTTTCTGGTTCTAACATTATTTGCTGTTCATCACTATAAAGCTTCTTTAGGTATTCAATCCATGTGTCGTTATCTATGTGTTTCGGTTCGATTAAGTCTTTCATCTCTGATCTTTGGCCTCTTATGAAACGCCATATTTCCTTTTGTAGACCGTAAAAGTCGTATTCCATTTCTTTTGAGAAGCGTTCCCAGTGTTCGTTTTTAATTTTTCTTACTAGTGCTATTGTTTCGTTTCTTATCTTTTTGTAATTGTTGTATTTTTGTAATGTTTTGTTAGACATGTATCTTAAGTAAGCTTTCTTTTTTTCTTTGCATTTTTCTTTCACTTCTTCTCATATTTTTAAGAATTTTCCTTTCTCCTACAGCTTCTTTTGCTGAATCTAGGATGCTTGCTTTAATTTTAGCCCAGCTTTCTTCGATTCCATCACTTTCTACGATGTGCACGTTGTCGAGTTTATCCTTGACTCTCTTTTGGTATAGAAGTTTTGTTGATTCGTTCTGCTGACTCTCGACTTTTACCTTTGTGGTGTATTCTTTTTTTTTATTTTTATTGTTTTCTATTGTTACATATGCGTGTCGTCATTCTGATTTTTCCAAGTATAAGCTTATGGTCGCTTCCTATTTCTGCAGATGTTAGTGCTCTTATGCCCAATACTTGAGAGGGATGTATTACCCTGTTCGTCAGGATGTAGTCTATCATTGTCATTGACCTTTGACCTCTTGTATTTTCGAATGTGTATTTGTATTGTTCCTTATGAGGGAAAAAAGTGTTGTTGATGCGTAGTTCATTCGTGCTACATAGGTCCGTGAGGAGATCTCCATTTTCATTTCTGATGTCTTCGTTATGACGCTGTTTTATCCCTGGTACGATGTCGTTGCCAACACGGGCATTAAAGTCGCCCGTAACGATCATAAATTCATTTTTAGGGATCTCATTTATCGTGCTTTGGAGGTGTTCGAAGAAGCTTTCTCTTGTGTCTACGTCTCTGTTGTTCTCTGGAGCATAAATGGCTATTATGTGTAGAGACTTATCATTTAGTTTGAGTTTTACGTAAACTGTTCTTTGTGAAATGTATTTACAATCCTCTATTTGGTCAATGAATTTCTTTTGTAAAAGTAGGGCTACTCCTTCTTTAGCTCTGGTTTCTTTTTGCCACGCCGCTGTAAATCAACAAGTAATTATCTAGCATAATTTGACTCTTTCCTTTTTTCTTGGTCTCCTGGAGTGCGCATATATCTATATTTTTCTCCGTTAGTTCTTTGGTAATTTCTTGTTCTCTGCTGTTCAAGGATTTTACGTTCCAAGTACCGATTCGGAGTATGTTTTTCGTTTTCCATGAATTCGTTGTCCTTTTTCTCGCATTGGTCATCGTCGTAGATTCAGTCCTGTTCCGAGGCATTAACCTGTTTCTTTGAGCTGGCTGGTTTATAGTCCTACAGTAGGGTACTAACCTGGTTGAAGACCAAAGAGAGATGATTGTATAATCTTTTTACTGAATATAATATAGATTTATTTACTAACTTCGTGGACGGGATCGGTAAATACACATTAAAGGTTGAATTTTTGG